TCACACTGCCACTGGACTGGAGTGGGTTCCCCGAGAAGGGGCTGCTGCACTGAAGAGGGGGGTCCCACCCAGGAACGGATGAGCCGAGTGCGGGCACGACCCACACACAGTCACCTCTGCCCAATCTTATGAACAAAGATGCTGAGAGATCTCTAGCTAGCTCATGTTCTTGGGTTTGGCTAGCTGAGGAGAGGGACCCCCATGTTTATACATTCCCATGTTTAACCCATCAAGAACAATGCAGAGTCTATAGCAGAAATTGATTTATTTATACAGGCAAGCAGATGATTTTTTACAGGGACAGTTTTTACATTCAGTCTGAGTACAAAATGGCTTTGTTAATCAACACACTAAAAGGAAAAGCTCTGTGTGCCACACGCTGTGTATGTACTAGGGATGTGAACATGCATATAGTTCAGTTATGCTATTACATGCAGGGGGCAGGCAGCTACCGGATTTCACTCCGCACTGCTGCCTCTGGATGGGAGGCAGCAGCACAGGGTGGGGGGCAGGCGGCTCCACTAAAGCGGGTACATGTGGATCACTGGTTAAAAAGCTGGCACCCCAGATGAACTAGCTCCTCCCTTCCTCCCGCCCTGTGCTGCTGCCTGAGAAAGAGAGGCACCATTGCACAGGGTCAAATGGTCCTGCAGGAGCTGGTATATGCGGGGAGCTGCCTTGAAAGCTGCCTTCCTGAGTGCACCAGCTCCCACCTGCCCCGAATGTGCCTCTAATGCAGAGGCAGTGCTGGGGGAGGGAGCTGCCTGTGACCATGCACATTAACCGATGAGCCAAAGCTCATGGGGTAACCGCGTCTACATTTGCACTTTCACATTCCTAGTGCACGCACACTCTGCCCACTGTAACAGACTGGACTGGAAACGTCTCCTGTCAAGCCCCATGTGCTGCCTGTGAATCCCCGCGCAGGGTTCAGGGCTGCAGAGCAGAGATTTCCCTTCCCAGCCCCAAGGCTGCCGACATGGGGCAGAGGCTCTCGGGAGGTGAGAAGTGAACCGGGATGTGCGGGGGCTGCTCACTGGTTCTGGGTAACCAGTGGAGCCTGGAGGAGCCCCCCGCCGCCGTGGGCAGGGGTCTGCTCAGCCCCGCGGGGCCCGACACAGGCAGGGGGTTCCCCGG